TTTGCATGGTGTAATCCTAAGACCACATGCTAACAAACATGGGTTTCATTTGAAAACGAGGAGTTAAGCCGAGAACGGACAACTGGGCGAGCAGAGGGAATTTTTCCATTGGCAAAAAACGGCTGCTTTGATATTTGCATGCTCTGCGAGTGTTTCCTCTCCTCTTGTCTCTGACGAAGATTGAACGCGGGTGGATCTCATTCCCCCGTGACTTGCTTACTTAAGTTTTTTTTTTATAGTTTACTTCATTCCATTGTTTCTCCGACAACAGTGCAATGTAAGCATCACCTATACCTCTCACCTCCGCGATGCCCAGGCGCGATCGAGCCTCGGACATGCGAAACCAGAATCGCACCAGCCGGCTGCATGCAAGCGGAACGGGCTTTTCCAGTCGCCGCCTGATGTGAAGGGGAAGGGGATGCATCGATGGATGAATGAATGATTCAGTGCGGGGAGCCGATAGAGGAATATCGTAGGAAATGCAAGCCTCGATCTACCGGACATCGCCAGTAAATTCTTCGTGCCACCAACGGTTTCTTATCGCCGACTTAGATTGTCAGATAGAGACTCCATATACTTCGTTATTTGCATCCATTCCGTGCAACAGTGATTGCGTGTAGGGCAAGCAATCCGTCGTAGACCGGGCACGACACACCGTCACCGATTCCCTTCCATCGATCCACGACCTGTAAATCAAAGAAATCCAGACGCTCATCTTGCGACGCGAACGACATTCGAGGCACGCTCTCGCTCTTGTGGCAGGACCGAGATTCCTCTCTCGCATGAATTCGTCCCAGCTGACATTGCTCGGGTCGTTTCTTGCGAGGTTTTCTGTTTGGAGACAAGGGCACTCACCGGGGGTTCCCGTCATTCCATTGCTCCTTTTTCTATTCGCTTTCTTCGCATTAGGGCCCCAATTACTATCTGTGCGAAGACAATGCATGATGGACTAGTTGGATTAAATGGGGAAGGGGGGCGGTAATGAATTCCGTAGAAGATTTAACAAGGGCGTTGAATCGGAAGCGGTGTGAAGATAGTGGCATTCGCCAACTATTCACCGGATAAGGCCGGCTTTTTGTCTTCAACTTTTAAAGACCGTGCTTTATCTTCAACGGACTGTTCGTTAGTCCAGATTTCTTAGATCCGACGGGCACGTTGGAGCGTACCGAAGGAGAAAGGAAGGTTAATATCATATTCTCTTTGGGTCGGGCAGGCACCTATACACATAAACTGGTCCCAATAGAGAACGTTCCCGTACCGAAGATAGCATCTGCTCGATCTTGATAATGAACGAACCCGAACGATCGATTATTGAATGATCGCTCGGTAAGCATGGACCAGTCCCACTTCGCACGATTGCCTTTTACTTCCATCGTCATCGTCATTATGATCTGAGGGAATTTCTTCTTCCGTTATGGTTTGACGCAAATTTTTTCATTCACCACTCGAAGTTCATTAGCATTGCATGAGCGCTGAGTTGGCTCCCGCACCGTTGTCATTGCAAGTTGTTGAAAAAGCGATTCCCAAGGAGATGAGATGAGTAACCTTGTGGGCGTTAGCAGGTAATTAGAGGGAGCAGGCAGCAGATAGCGAGAGTCCTAAAATGGAGGGGATCGAGGGAGTCGGAATGGTCGGTTGTGGATTGCCGTAATATGCACCTGCACCCACGCGAGACCCCCCCGACACCATCTGCCTACCGGGGGACTTGATGAATGCTTCTCGATCACGATTCTCGGCAGTGGAGAGACAATTTGGTCCAGCAAACAGTTGGTTCGAGACAGTCGTTTATTCAATTACCACCTCGTCTTCGGGTTCAGGTCCGGGTGAATCGGCAGTTTCCGGCCGGGGATCATTTTTCACCGCGTTTATTTCCCCTCTCTTCCTCTGTTTAAGATTCAAATATGCTGCGGGCCAGAGGCAAAAGATCCCCTCTGTTTCTCCTCAGCGATGAAGACGTTCTGTCGGCAAACATTTCAAGGCCGCTTGTCGCTCGACATCTCTTCGTCTTATTGCTTTCCCTCTCCATCGGGCGATCCTTGATGAAGTTCCTCCTCCATCAGAAACGAAAAAAATCGCGAAGGACTCGACTGCTGCATCACCTTGAAGAAATTCGAGGAAGAGGGAAGCCAAATACACAGGGAAAGAGCTTGCAGTCGATCGAGAATGGCCTTCATTTGCGATGCTGCCGACCTTTCCACCCTCCGAAGAAAGCTATAAACGTCCTGGGGAATTTTCAATGGCTTATTGAGTGCGAACTGGCCAATAAATCAGCACCTCGTGCATCAAAAGGAGAGGTGGGGTGAGTCTCAACCGATAACCCAGGGACGTCGACGTCTGTCTTATTTATGAGTGTCGTGGAGGGGAAGATGTTGAGAATTCATAGAAAAACGCCTTTCTCCTTTACGCGATCTCCGAGGGGGTCTTCCTCTTTCATTCTCTCGAGTAACTTCATTAAGGAATGTTGTTCTCGGCCCGCCTGATTGACTTCGTTACCCGAGCGGCATATTGCTGAGCAATTGGGCAAACGTTCGGCGAGAAGACCGAGGGGGAAATGATGTTCTTTTCATATCCGATCCTGATGAATGATCCAGGATCGAGATACCTCTTCTTTCGGAAAGAGGTTTTTCCTTCCATTCCCCTCTCCCTTTTTGCCCTAGCTCTCACTTCGCCCGATTGTCCGCATTCCGTCTCTGGGAATGGAGGAAGGCAATTTTTCAACATCGTCATCAAATTGCCATCAGGATCGATGAGAAAGAATCCTCGGTTGGAGTCGGAAGCCTTTGTCTGCCTTTGCTCCGGCTGCATTACAATTACGGCTTCATGACGCAATCCCCTTCGATTGCGCGGTGAAAATTCTGCAGGTGGGGCATATCGATTTCCGCGGCAAGTTCGCATTTTTGGAATTGCTCGCAAACAAGCAGTGAACGCGGCATTCCTCCCTATCTGAGTGGATTTCGCAGCAATCGCATGGAAAAATCGAGGTCATTTCTCGTATCGGAATGCGAAGACAACCTTTGCCGTCGCATTCAGTGAATGGGAAGACGACAGTCTCCTGAATCAACTTGTCACTGCTACAAGACCATGATAGACTGGAATGGAGAAGGGAGCAGCACGGAGAGAATACAGGAAAAGCAGGAAAGAAGAGAAAGAAGAGAAAGAAACGCTCCTTGATGGATGGACTTGGGGTCCGGAACAAGGAATTTCCCGAATCGTCATCCATCCGCGTTATTCGCCTGTTGCCACTTTTCTTTCTCTGAATCCCCAACAAAATCTACATGAAATTAAAGAGTATAAAGCAAAAGAGCACGTGGACGGGAAGAAACGAGATGGATGAGATGTGGCAAATCTTATTGTAGTTAGAAAGACAGACCCTTTTTCCGTTCTTCTTCCTCGAGAGGTGAAAGCTCCGTCCGAGGATGGGCTGCAAACAATCCAATCAGCATTTTCCATTTCCATGGTCCTCGATCCCCTTGCTCCCGGTGTCACATCGCAGGGAATTCGATTATACCATGCCGCTGGGGGATTCCCCTCTTTCGATGCCAACTTGCCTATCTTAGCCTTAGGCCTCCAGTGGACCATGGATCCCCCTCTCGGGGATGGGCTCATGTCATCCCAGGCAATTGGCCCCATGCTTGTTAGGCCCATTCCAATCGTCCTTTTTTCCCCTACTACATATTGATGGCGATAGCCCTGGAGGCCGGATAGAGACAGAGCTTAATGAGATCCAATTCCATCCCTTTGTGACTCATCTTTCGCTAAGATCTTGATTTCCCTACGCCAAAAATGTACTTCCTTCCTCGGATTCCAGGTCACTTCTGTTCACTTGCGTACCTGACATGAGACATAGCAATGTTCCCGTTATTTCCATTGTAGAATGCAGAATCCGACTCCCCCAGGGAAAGAGAAAGAGGAGAAAGAAAGAGCTGCGAAAGCTTTCGGAATTGAAACCCATTGAAGGAAGAGAAGGACGGGAAGGGCGAGACGAAACTCATTGAAGGAAGGAGGAAGTAAGCATTTGAAATGAATCGAGGATGACTCGATGAGAACTAGAAGCTGTCAATGGTGAAACGGTCTCAGACGGGAAGACTTCCCACCATTCACAGTTCCTGATGAATCAAAACCAGACGCTGATGATGGTTCCCAATCTGCCCCCATGGTCTGCCATCGATCAAATTACACTGTAAAAGGAAAACCCTTTCCCCTCAAGCCCTCCCATCGGGCAGAGCGACACTAGTTGAAAGGGTGTAACAGCACCTCTTGAATGCTTCTCCCAACTTGTACAATGCAGCTATTTCATCCTTTCAGGGTGAATCATTCCCATGGTTGGAAAAAAATCAGTATTCAAATTGTCCTCTGTTCATCGAGCATCGCTTCTTGAAGCACGAATCCGCCATGACAAAATCAGGCAGTGGAGAGACATCGAGAGGAAGAGTGACCTTGCTCTTCGGAAATGTTAGACCGGGAAAGGAGGCTTTCATTGGTCAGCCACCCTATTATTGGTGGTAAGAAAAAAACGCGAGGGGGCGACCCTTCCAAAATAATTTCATAATGGTGATGGCAGAGCCGGAGGGGCTGCTGCTCTTATTTTCCACCGAGCCGCCGATGGTTAGGTCCATTCGCCATGCCTAGCTAAAGCCGAGTCCTGCCCCCTCCCCCTTCCAAACACATAATGCATATATGCACCTGGCTCCTTTGACAGCCCCCAAACCGGCAATAGCCTGTCCACTCATGTGCCGTGCCCAAATAATGATCCGCACAAACTCATTGCCAAACAGGCTGTCTGCTCGAGTAAATGCCATCGGGAGAGACGCAGTAGAGCAGCAGTACATATAAAGAAAAACAGCATCCCGGCTCGTGCTGAAAGGGGGGTCTCGTCAATGTAAAGCCTGTAGGAAATTTTCCAGACCTCAGACTCCGTTTACGTTACAGGCTCTGCGGGCGTAGCAGAGGCGCATGTTTGGGTGACAGCCCTGACGAATGGGGACATCAAGGAATGAACCCCGGAGATATGGACGAGTCCTTCTCGTCGATATGAGAAGTTTCATCAGGACGGAGAAGATGGGAATGGTGGGCGAAGGGATGATGAGCAGTGAAGGAGATTGAAGACAGAGGTGAGGCGGGCTTGGGCCATTGGGCCTGGGCTGAAGCTGAAGCGGGACGGCCGCTGAGGACGAGACTCAGTCGGGCGCTGATCCTCGCTCTGTGCAGTGCGTCACTTCCTCTCGCTCGCTCCCGTGTTCCATTCACTTCACTTCCTCTCCTCTATCGAATGCATATACGTACTCGATATCGGTCATGTGCCTCCTATCCAGTGTTTCCTAGTCGACTCGTCTTCTCCTAAGTCGTGAAGTCCGTTTTTGCAAACAAACAATACGAGTTGCGAGATGCTGCTTTGGATTTCTGTTTTGGTTCCTTTTATCGGGATTTGCGTTGGGAAGCTCTCCACATCCCAGGAGAAAAAGGATGGACCTGGTACGTCTTTTGAAACAAATCCCTTCGCCCTTTCGTTTCATCATTACTTTCTTTCATTCTATTTGTGTGCCCATCTAGTGGATATCGCTACCAGTTCTGAATGGAAAAAGAGGCCTTGATGGGTAATTCAGGACCACAATTGGCCGTAATCTGGTCGTTGATAATTCATTGCCCGTCCCTTTCGACATTACCCATCGCTCGATTCCTCCCTTTCTTTTTTATTATTATCTCCCCATGGATTTCCCCAAATCGACTTTAGAACGACGGGAACCCACATCGCGGAGAGGGCAAGGGTAGAAAGAAGTTGTGCAGTGGATTGATTAATGGGCATGCAACAGCATTGTAATCACGGCTGTGAACTGTTGAAATTTCCCCCATGAATTATCGCAAAGGAGCCAGGATCGAATGGGGGTCACGACATTCCATATATGTTGTGCAATTAAGGAGAGGATGGGGATGAGGGTGAAGACGAACTCATGGCTGGGTGGTCCCCGAACTTGAGCAGCCGAGACCCATCATCATCATCATTCCGACTCCTTCCTTATTTGCCCATGCTGCGGAAACGTATCATTTACATGGAACCCTCTGCTCGGCTGATTTTCTCTAGTTATCGCTATCATTCGGAGAATCGAGATGAAGCGAGATCGGGAGGATTGAGGCGAAGAAACGGGAAATTCCAGAACTGCTATTCCGAACCGGTCCTTTCATTCCAAGCATCTCATTAATTCAAATAGAATTTCGTCTTCAAAGACAAGTCTGCCTTTTTTCTTTTGATATCTAGAGTCAAGTTGTCCCAGTAAATCTGCTTCTACATGCAAGTCAATGCCGCCAAAGACGGTTTGGTTTCTTTGGGAAGTTATGCTACCGAAGGCAGAGCCAGTATGAAGAATACGTGTCGCATCGGGTTTATTGTTGTAATTGTAAATTTAATGAGAGAGAAACTTGAGTTTTTTTTTAAATAGAAAATTGAGTTTTTACGATTAGAGTGACACTTCAATGGTAAAGTCGTTTACTTGACCTATTCATGGGTCCTCTCCGCGAAGTTGCATTTGATAAGGTGGCACGCTTTATAAAAATGACATCGGTTTCACCCATCTGATATTTGCAGTTAGAGCTTTCAGGGTTGTAGGCAGTTGTATATCCTTGCTCATTATTGAGAGGATCCGTTGCCGCACCACTTTCACATTCTTTTCCCTAGAGCATTCATGCATGCTCATGCATGCATGCATGCATGCAAGGAGCGTAATATGTATTATCATGATTTCCCCTGTCAATTGGAGGTTCGGTATCATCAAACCGACGAAAACGTTAATTTGTTTGGACTCCATCACATTCACGAACGCGGACATTTATTCTCCTCGACGAACTGGATTTTGACCCCTGAAATCTCTGTTGGCCCGTTCCTCCCTGATACCTGCGGCGCAGCGTGCGGACAGGCTGCTTCATTCTTCCATGCTCACTGCCTTCCTTTTCTTTTCTCTCTTTGTGCCTTTTCGGAAAAAATATAAAAATGGCATGGAGAGTCGGAATATTGTGAAAATAATGCGGAGTCATCGCTCATTTCCGCGGCTCGTCAAGATGGAACGCGACGGTCTGAGGTTCAAAGGAGCCGGACATTTTCATCATCCAGTGTAAACGTCTTGTCCGGACTTAGGTTTGGTTTGGTCATTCATTCATTCATTGATCCGTGCCGAGGACTCCGGCGTGCATCCACCGTTTGGATTAAGCTTAGCCCTGTCCCTTGATGTTTCAATTTTCCGCCTCTCATTCTCCCTCTCCATATATACATGGGCATGATTCATTCGAATGTGTGCCCCAACTGCCAGCTTTTACTTACAATGTTTTCTCCCTCTGAACCTCCATGTCGCATTTCGTCATGATTTCCTGTCTCTAAGCCGCTTTGGAAATGCCATCGTTGCTCTGTAGGCCATAGAATATTCAATAGGAATGAAAGAATGACGATGTTTGATGCTTCCCATGCTTGATGGAATCCCAGAGCTGATTTTCCGCTTGATTCAACAAGGCTCGCCAGAAGGAATTTGTCTTTTCTAAGGTTCAGAGGAAAAGTAAACGGGGAGAGATGTTGACTATGCCGAAAGCAATTCTTGAAATGGGTGAACCGGATCGTGTCTTGCGCATACATTCTCAGCATCTCATTAATCGGCTCATTATGATGTCCTCTATCTGCTTCAATTTGACCTCTTTCTCAAGTCTTTACGTCCGTTTCATCTGAAAAAAAATATCCTGCATAAGACCGCATTCCAGCTTCCGCTTAATGTTGCTTGGGGCTTTATCTCGATTCCATTCTTTTTGAGAATATTTGGTCCAGTTCGAAAACCGTGGGTAACCTGTAATGAAACGGTTTCATGATTCTTGGTTCGTAAGCAAGAGATGTCATTATGTAGATGTCATTACGCAGGGTAGGCTCGGGTGAGTGAGCCTTCATCCGTCAACCTCCTAATGACCAAAGCAGAAAGCATTGTCTCACACTTAATCCTCGTCTTATGAATAATGGTTCAGGTGAAACCGTGATTTATGTCCCTAGCGCGGTACTTGCATCTTTGACCGCCTTTCCTATACTAATGGCTCTAAAAAAAAAAAAAGAGGGCAAAAGACCTGTTTATGACATAGTACTGAGTGGGCCTGCCCTTTCTCAGGGTTTTAATGGACTGGAACCAGGACGAATCCGGAGGACGATAATGAAGCTCTGTCAATCGGGTATCTTGTCCTTAATGAGCACCGAGGTGTAAGCCAAGAGTAACAGTAGTCTGAGTATTGTTATTCACGGGCAGGAAAAATTCCATACCCCTCTTGTTTACTCGAAGGGGGGTGGGGGGTCTCAATCCCCTATAATAGAAGCCAGAACTGATTTGCGCAAGTTTGAAGGAAAAAAAAGGTCTCTCTATTCACAGACCAACTGCTCCCTCTCCCATTCCATGAGTTTATTTTCTCAGCGAGGAGTGGAAAATCTGCACCTTTAGCGTATCTACCATGCACATTCCAGGTTTCAGTCTGCCAAGAGAATAATGAAGCGGACCTTCGTTCACGATTGCCCAGGTGCCAAACAGCAAACACGTGAACCAACGGTCTTATCTGTTATAAATATACTACCCCCCCCCCCCAAGTCTTATGAACAGTGCCGTTTCATAGTTGAATTTCTCACCACTTAGAGTGACAACCCGGAAAACTTTTAAATCCGAAAACAGCTTAATTTCTCAGATATGCTTTCCGTAGGATCATGAAAAATAATCATTTTCCTTCAAAGTTCGCTTCTGAGCCCATCTCGTCCGACATTTCAAAGCATGTGCATGGCAATTCTTTTTCAAGAAGTCAGATATCTCGCGTTTTCTCCGTAGAACCAATGTGACCTCATTTTTTTCCACAAAGAAATTCGAACCTGACGGATTCCGAGGCGAATTTCGGAGACACTTTGTTACTCTTCGTGTTGTCAATAACACCTACGCAGAGCTGGAGGAATGAGGTGCAAAAATGCACTTGGTTGGTGGGCCTGGTGCAGAAGAATTAGTTTGCGTAATAATAGGAGGACTGACTGTTCGAGAGCGGTAAGCTTACGAGGAGTCATGCAGACATTCCAGGCGTATTGAAGGGGGGAGAAAGATGGGCATGGAATTCTTGTTGTCCGTCGTCGCTGTGTCGAACCACAACAATGAGGCGGATTTTCTCAGCTATTCCCATTTGGTCTGCTAAGGGGGAAATGCCTTCAATGCAGAGGTGACAGACAGATTCTTTCCCCGTCCCCAATGGGGCTCCCTGGATTCCTTTTGAAATCGAATCTTCTTTCTGCTCAGGGAACAGAAGGCTCCCCGCTCACTGTGTGCAAACATTCCAACTTATTTATTTTTCCTGAGTGTTTTCTTGAGCAGTCGACGCCACCAAGACCCTTGGTCTTTTTGTATCCTTGATGGAGCGACCCATTTATTGGTATTTCTTTCAACCGACATTACTTTCAGGCTTGGCCAGGAAAGCCCCAGTGCCCCACTTCACAGTTCCTTCCTGTGTCTGTATGAAACAAAGATGACGCAGACAGCAATTATTTGCTGCAGTTCCTGCCCTTCCCACCATGATCTTGAGTAAAGATGTCAACATGGAGGAGAGGCAAAGAAGAAATGGGAGACGCTCTATGACCCTGTCTGTGCCAAGCGAAGCGTTATGAAGAAGAAAATCAAATCAGAACCACATGGGAGAGAGGGAGAGGAAGAAAAAAGGAGACACCCAACAGAGAAATTGAGCATGCAGAGCGCGTTATCACGTCAGTGATGAGAGAAAGAGAAAGAGGGGGAGAAAGAGAACGAGAAAAGAAAAGAGCTTGAGAAGCGCAGCGAAGTCACCCTGCACTTTGCCCCTCTTCCGTCTTTTTGGGCTACTGAGTGGGGGGGGAAGGGGGGCCTATGGCCTGGATCGCGAAGGAAGGTAAGGAAAGGAACCACGGTTGAAGGCCTGAAGAGACTGGGTTATCCCCAGGAGTCTAATGATGTGCTCTGACCACCCGGTTCGAAATACCAGGAGGCATGGAACGGATTCAGAATATGAGAGGAAGATGATGAGACTATGGAGTTAGTTCCTTTTTTTTGGGAAGAGTGCCAAACCACGGGCGTGAAGTTTCGGATTGACAGTCTCCATACTCTTGGAAAGGAGGAAAAAAGGGGAAAGCAAGGAGACATGGAGCTTGTCAAAGACAGTCTTCTTCTTTGAGAGACCCCTCCTCAGTTCCGCTCCTCCCTTTCTTCAGCCCTCGTTCTCTTCCGATTTCCCACTTCCCCTACTAACTAGACATGGGATGAAGATAAGAGAGGTCTCTGCCTGATGGATCATCATGGTGTCTATAATTACCAGCCGTGATTATGAAGTAGTAGTCGAACCCTTCCGTGCCTCCTCAACAGGTGCCGTTCTGACAGCACTGTGTAATCAGAGATGAGTTTCTCAAGACGGATGTTTGCGTTGAGCACATGTGCATCGTTTTTTTCCGCTGCACCTGTGTA